GCACAGATATTCACAAGGAAGACTGCCAATATTTACAACACGTAACATAAAATACCACAATAAAACTTAATGGTAAGACAGGCAAAAGTTTATGCTAATCGTCGATAAAAATATAATAAAACTGTGACCTCGGTGTATGTCGGCGTCCCGCTGCTCGCCCCGTTACTCCGACACGCGGGTTTCTGCGTAGGACACCTATTTCTATCCCGACATCCTGAGCTATTCTTAAACTTGCCTTGAATGTTTTTTTATTGTAACATGCCAATTATAATCATTAAACTTCTTTGAATAAACTTAAATATTATAGAGCTTTTATAGCGTAATATATTATATATTTATATATATTCTCTTGCCCAAATGCTCAAATCGAATTAATTCGTCTCATGCTTATGAAATTCAATGAATATGTATAAACTAATAGTTAGTTCTGAATCGGTAATATAGATTGATTTGAAAGATAATGCTTATTTACTAACAACATCTCGTATGAGACAACTCTCTGCATTAAGATAAACGAGATTTACGTCTAAGAAATAAGATTACGAGTACGTGTGAAGTTTTAAACTTACAAAAAGTTAAAATATCCACGAATTACTTGTTTAGTGCAATATAAAATAGAATAGGTATTCTATTACATTTTTTTCATACGGTTCCGACCGGTCCTGGAGCGCTCGCGGGCTAATCACGAACACAGGTAGCATATCGCAGTATCTCGCGCGCGACACACTATCCATTCCGGTTATTAATGAACACGAACCATTTTCGAATTTCGCCGCCGCTCGGACAGCCTACTGACAGCTGTTTATTTATCAATGTCCACCATACGTCCGAGCATCATCAGCAAATATTTGAATTTACATAAGAAAGTAGTAAGGCTCGTTTAAGCGGTATCCCGCAAGCGCGCAATCACCAGAATAATGTTATAAAACAATGGAAGCTATGTTCTCCCGCTAATTATGAGCTATTGTGTTGATTATCGGAATGTTACTTATTCAATACGAATCGATTGCGCGTAATAAACTTTTCTCAAACGGATTCTCGCAAATAGACGGTAATCGCGTTTAATAACATCTAAACGTCAGACTGATCATCGTCAAAAAACATTTCCTCAGAAAGTCTATTGAAGCGTATCGAAGGGACCCTTTGCGCTGCCGTATTACGATTAATTGATGCTAATTAATAAATTAATTAACCATGTTCATACGACGCATGAGCGATTCCGGTTTTTCTCTAGTCAAGTACGTTTTTATTTCAACTACATTTCTACTAGCGACCGTTGCATTCTCCTTTTTGCAAGTTGGTCTGCAAATGGCATCCTACACCTATACTTTTCATACTTCGTAATTAATTTATTAAAATTATAATGAGCATCGCGACGTATTCCTAATTGGGGACATGTTATGTTGTTCATTCATTTTATAATAATTAAAACGATGGCGCATTTCGTTGTAATTTATGTCATATTTTTCTTATTTGCTCTCGCTGCTTTAAAATGGGGATCGTACATTGTGTTTTGTCATATCTCTCAGTGTCTTTGTCGGTACAATTACTGAATGAATTACGACAATCGTGTTACGTGTGTTTGCCACAGTTAACATAATGATTAATTAAAAGCTATGCAAGAGAATTATGGAATAAATAAGCAATCACTTACTTAAACGATAAACCAGATCTTTATGATTTAAGTCGTTAATATGAAGTATAATTTAATACAATTAATTTAGAGATATTGATTCTGATTATCTAATTTGTTCCACTAATTTCTGATTAGTTCGTTGATCTAAATATGGTTTTTAAATATGCATATATTGATTTTAAATGGCGCTTATAAAAGCGTCGTCACACGTATGTATATTATTTTATTTAATTAAAATTGTAGTTCTAGAGTTAGCAAATACCGATCATCAAAATTTTAGAAATATAATTATTCTTAATTTTTGCTTGCAGCTGCATTCAAGTGATACAGTGCGAATAAATAGCATATTATCTATACATATAATAAAATTGTACCTAAGCTGAATCTGTACATTAAATTTTTTTTTTTTTTTTGAAATAAACATTATTATCGATACAGAGGCCGAATCTATAGTTTTTAGAATTTTTGTCTGTCTGTCTGTCTGTTCTCGCATCACAGAAAAACCACTGGAGGGATTTTGATGAAATTTGGTATGGTGATAGCCGGTTATCCGGGTCAACATATAGGATACTTTTACGCGGGAAAATGTCTCATTTCTGAGAAAAAATACAAAAACTGCAATGTAAGAGTATACTAATTAATATGTGGAACCTAAGAATTTGGTTTTCGGTCATCTGAACGCGGGCGGAGCCGCGGGCAACGCTAGTGTACTATATGTATATGTATGTACGCAAAATATTTTGCATTTATAATATTAGTGAGATTTGTAACGGAGCGTTATTGTTATAATCAGTAAACATAAAGTATGAAGTATTTTGTAAGATGCAATCACTGAGACACTATGGCCCACGTGTTGATTGAAGTCGCCGACAAAGCGGAGTCGTCACGTACTTACCTCGGAACAGCATATTCTCGAAATAAGCCTCGGTTTTGAGAATACTGCTCATTCATTTTTCAATCTAGATATAGAATTACGGTACGTGTTACTGCTGTTTGTTCCAATATAAGTACGAATGTCCTTCGGATAAGTACCTGCTTTAATCAAATGGCCCGATCCAAAATTAACACTACAAACGACCAAAACAACAAATTTTTCAATCACACTACCTTTATAAAACACACAATTAAGATGGTCGAATGTTTTCTCATTGTCACTTTTGAATTAAGTTTTATAAAAAATTATGGTCCCCATTTATTTAAATATTCCTAAGTTCTCTTAACTTACTATGTAATCAGGAATGCATAAATTTTAGATTTAATTCTTGAACTTATGGAGCCCTGGCCAAAACTTTATATGGCAAATACATACAATATTATAACCGTAACCAAATGAATAACCATTTTCCTGTACTTTACTTAATGCCAAATAAATACTAATATGTTGACTCTATAATATTCTTTTAATTTTTTGCGTAACTGATCATAACTCACGTAGCATCGAAAACAAATTTCCATCGACAAAAGAATTTACAAGGCGAAGGCGAGCAAGCGAACACGCGTCTGGCCCAGACATAAATACACAAACGGGCATTATATAGAGAAGGCCAATTTAACAGACTTATTGTCTCCGGGCATAATGCGAGACGTTGGGAGACGCAAAAGGACGAAGAGATGCGGAGTTCCCGACTCAGGCCGATACAAAACAATGGTATTTAATCAACGATGATAAATGCTGTATTCGAGCACGTTTTTTAACGATACTGCTGTATTGTTTTGGCGGGAGCTTACCGTTGAATACGGAGATAAGTCGCCGCTGAGAGTGGCTTAGCTGACAAATTGGAATAAAAGAAATATTTATTCGTGTTCGCATCGTGAAATCTTCGGTTTTGGATACGTATTGTGAACATTCTCACATACTCTTGCCTCGCCCATATCTCAGGATTTCGTCAGAACATAAAATGAAATCGGATATCTTAGACTTTATCGTGTCCTTTCTCTACGATAACTTTTTTCATTGTTCATACCGAACAGTAACCCACCATGAGCGTTCTAAAATTGAAATAACAACTGTATGAAAATCTAATTTGCATGTTGGTTTTTTAATTCGTCAAACAAGAAAATATTCTATTAAATCCATTCCTCGAAACTATCTAAAGTCATATTGTTATTAATTTTGTATTCGATATTAAAACCACTTATGTCATGAGACGTAGCAAGTCTAGTAAAAGCTACTTCTTATTTTGCGGACCATTACAATAGTACTGGCTTAACATATTCCAACGTTGTAGTTGTATTTGCACTTGATAGCAATATACAATTTATTCTATAATATATAAGGTACAAGTTGCGATGTCACTATACTGTACACTTTTGTATAAATCACGATATTTTGAAATAACGCGAAGGAATTGATCACCATCTCACGGTGTTCGGACTACGGGCCGGGGAAATGTTCGGAGGTGCTCGTAAATTTGTGCGGTAAAACAGCAGGACGCCGGGACGACTGAAGCGACGGATAGAGCAACGGTTTGATTTATGGCGATGCGACTGACAATGCCTCATGTTTGCATTCGGTTACGATTCGCGGGATCGCAGAAATTGTTACTACGACGATCATGTTCGAAATATCCACGGCTGCTATTGGAAAATGATGGCTTTTATGAAAATATTAAGAACAATGATCATGTACTTTCTTTATGTTAAATTTACTATTATTTTCGAACAAATATTTTTAAATTCCAATGCAAATTTTTTGAAGGCAAAATTTTTGTTCAATTATTTGAAGTAAGAAAATTATCGAGCAAGCAATAAGTACATAATTTTACCATTATTTGAGTAACTATATGGTTTTATTAATGAGTAAGCTGTAACAATATAAAGGAAAATTTTGTAAAAGGCGTTTCTTAAAAACCAAATACATACAGAAGTCGCCACAAACTGGATTTGTTTACATGTCTGCTTTTTTAAAAACGTTCAAATATAGACTAATTGCATCGAGTTTACAAATGGCGGGCTGGATTCTGAAGATATCTCTGGAATTGACCGTGCGACCGTGGGATGAAGCTTGTAGCCACCATTTTGGGCACATTCATTTGCTCAATCACGCTAATGTATACTGCCTAAAACAAAAAATAACAGATGCATTTTATTAGCTATTATTCGACTTCGAGCGTGCAATGACCACTCGTCACTCTTCACTTATGAACGGCGAGTACCAAAGCAGCATACCAATAAACCACTACTGAGATCTCTCACCTACCGCGTTTACTTTGTTTTGGTAACATAAAACATTCTTTATTGACAGGACTCCTCCTAAAAAGTAGAACACAGGAGTTGTGGCTGCATAAATCATTCCCTCTCAAAACTGGCACTAGCGGTGTGCGCCTCCGACGATAAGATTCCCGGGCATCTGCAAAAACAATTATGTCGGTCCAGAATCTTGTATTTGTGTCGTGTTCGTTTTGCCTCTAGACGCCGGTTGGAGCGGTGGCATAATGCGTGCCGATAAATATTTATACAATTTATTCATATTCCTTCTGATGCCGCCGGCGTAGCTATCAAAATACTGGTGCAGATTTGATATTTTCAAAATATTATTAATGTCCTTTAAAGGTAGCAATACGTATTATATGTACCTACATGAATATGATAAGGAATATTCAATACTTTAATAAACTCTTACTGCAACTCCTATCGTCTAAAAATAGGTAGCTGAAACCAATTCTAATCCATTTTCGGATGTATATACGCTGTGTGGAGACAAAAAAAATTATTTAAATAATATTTAACTCTATATTATTTGTATGTTAGACATTAAATGAGCTTGTGAAATACAAATGAAATATGTGTGTAGCCTTTATTTATTTTCTAATCATAAATATCCATCTATACATACCTTAGAATAAAGTAAATGGTAAATAAAATTTATGAAAGCATCCAGCCGAAATGATATTCTGGCACAAGAATATCAATAACATTAGGCAAAAACTACGGCATACACAATAGTCTGGTATCAAAGTGCGGTGCATCGTATCTGGTATCGCGAGGGTATCTTCGGGCAATGCATCAGTGTTGCCAATAAATACGTCGGTCTGGCAAAAAGGCGGGAATGCTTGCCACGCAGCGCGCCGGCGGTCCTCGCGCAAGCGTTCTCCTGGCGCTTTTTCGTGCTACCAAATTTTCATAATGATATTTTGATAGATATTTGATGTAGGCAATGTTTTTGTATAGCAGCATCTATAATTGGATTTCGTAGCTAGATTCCACGTCCCTGTATAGTTTTTGTACATGTAAATTCTACTTAGTATACATATTGTCTTATGAGCTCCCAATGGGCATATTTGATTTTTTTCGTTGAGAAATCAATTCATAATTAGTTTTGACTTTTGCATTTTATATTAAAAAGATTTTAAATCAGTTTATGAAGTTAATACTGATGTAATTTTACCCTAATAATAATCAAATACCATTTGATATAAAAAGAAAAAAAAATCCTAAAATTTGAAATATTTATTAAGTTAATATATTTCTTCGAAGTGTTTTTTTAAATTACTATATAGGTGTAATCATAGATAACCTATATAAAATTTAAAAATCAACAAGTGGAGTATAAAACGGGATAAAAAGTCTTTACTAGACCAATCTATAGGTACATAATAAAATTGTAACTAAGTCGAATCTGTGCATTACATATTTTTTGGAAAATCTAATTGAAATAGACATTATTATCGATACAGAGTCCGAAACTATAGTGTTTAGAATTTTTGTCTGACTGTCTGTCTGTCTCTCTGTCTGTCTGTCTATTTGTTACCGCATCACGAGAAGACCACTGGACAGATAGATTATGATTAAATTTGGTATGATGATAACTGGTTATCCGGGTCAACATATAAGATACTTTTTACCGCAGGAAAATATCTCATTTCTGAGAAAAAATACAAAAGCTGCATTGTAAGAGTATACTAATATTATGTAAAACCTAAGAATTTGGTTTTTGGTCACCTGAACGCGGGCGGAGCCGTGGGCAATGCTAGCGAGCATATAAAATTTATGGTATAACAACTACTAGTATAGTATTATAATATGATCTGTGGTATAACGAATTTAGTATTCAAGCGTAACCTTAACATCTTGGCACGATAAACATTGTACAAAATTTAGATCAGCTTACAAAATTTCTCACTGAATTTCTTATTCATCTATATTTCTTTTACGACTTTTATGTAGATTATAGGTTAACACTCCCTTCTAAATTCTATAAAATGGAAATTCTTCAATATTCTAATGCACTCATCATCAGCTTAGCTCATGATGCACAGTAACATGATTTTTCTTTTCAAATAGGTACCTTAAATTACCATAAAAATAATTGCACAATACACTTTTGCCATAAATATTTTATTTATCTAATAATCTTGGCTCAAGCGTTTGATTGTCACTGCTTAATATGATTAGACTGCTAAGTTATTCAAATAAGCTTTCGTAGTTACATAAACAATCATGGTCCCAATCTGGTTAGGACAGAGCACTGCTTTGGGTACACTCAGCACTTAATGTCTCAACACAACGTCATAGTGTGTCGCCACTATCATTATATTATTACAACAGATCTCTTATATCACGTACAGATACAGATAGATCAATGATGTGATTGGAAAAAAAACATGTGAATCTCGAGAAAATAATACACTTAAAAATAAATATATATGTAGGTATATGGTACATTACCATAATATCTTCTGTTGAGTTTTCGAACTTCATGCACTAATTTTTTTGTATTTGTAATTGATTTAGTTTGAATTTAAAAGCTATATTGAATAATAGAATTAGATAATTGTAGAGAAACCTTTTTTGGCGGACCCATAGAGAGAGATTGAAAAGAATATTGGAATATTTTTATATGACGACACGTTTGGCTCAGTTTGTAGTAGCCCTACTTTCTGTGCCAGCGGTCGCGGGTTCGAGTCCCGCTGGGTTCCAGTCATGGGTGTTTATATTTATAATATGTATGTATTTAAAAGTTATATATGCATAGTGTATCAACTATCTGGTATCCATAACACAAGCCTCGTAGCTTACAATGGAACTAGATGGTGATGTGTGTTAATGTCCCAACATATTAATTAATTAATTTATTTATATATACTCCAGTATTTTCACAAAAGAATATAAATTTGATAATACAAATTTCATTGAAATTTGTATCTTTATTAATAATTATTCTTTTAATATAAATATATGTATACCTATGTTTATAAAAACCCTTTGATAACCGTTGTGATTGTCGAAGGTTGTCTTTGAGTCGGTACCTATTGACTATTGGCAGAATTGAAACTGTATTATAATGCATTGGAAATTTTAATTGGTATTCAGCGGTGACCGTGTCGGTGCGGGCACCCGGTGCCTGCAGCTTTGATGCCTTATCACGCGCGAACGCGTGAAAGCATCTCGCCATTTATTACACATATTAATGAAACGGCAAATATAAACCTTGACATTTGATCTGAGCCTTTCGCTAATCTTATAACCGTAATACTACATCGCATTAGATTTTAATGGGCACGGCAAGTCGTTTGCGTGTCGGTGCGCTTGCGCATTCTACGTCTGCGTGCTATCAGATGCGCGCGCACGTGACGGCATCCCGCCCCGCCCCCCGCCTTCCTTGAACCAAACTGGGATGTTGACTTTATCTCTCATGCCTTTGGTTTCGTTCCAGTTCCTGAATTGCAGGCTGAAGTATTAGGTACTTCTATATGTAACGGCGATTAAACCCAAAAGCTATTATTATGAAGAGAAAATAACCGTTTATATTCTTCTCTTTGGTATAAGTTCATGACGAAAACCTTAAAAAACAACAGATTTTCGAAAGGGTTATCCAAAGGATAAAATTATCGGATTTGATAAATGCACAATCAGTGGGTAAACTGCAGTTGGACTTCAATTTTCTATTTTCGCAGAAGAGGCCATTACGAGCGCGTCACGTCAGACGCGTTACACACGACGTGCGTAGAGATGGGTTTATCTAGTAGATAGGTCGTTTCTCTTGTCTTTCACGAGCTACGTCATTTTTAGTTAGCCTTTTCTTACGTGACCACAATGGTACGGAGCTTTTGTTAAATAATATATTTTTGAAAATTGTATTATGTAAATTCTTTCAAATGGCAAACATATTGATTAGCGCCGTAATTAACCTCTAAATAGCTAGCCAGGAAATACTCTGTTGGGGGCCCCAATTAATAAGATAACTATTAATAGTTATTATACATTAAAAATTTTGCTATATGTTTTAAAACAAGTACCTAATTTTAGAAATATTTTATTTACTTTTTTAATTTTTTTTATCTGAAAAAAGCTGCTGTTGTAACAGTAAGTAACACAACTACTATTTTTATACATGTGGAAGCGAATATTTTATAAAATGACCATTTTTATTAACAAAGTTGATGTTGACATCTGACTTCCACATACACCGTTGCCTTCGTTTTACTGCAACGTGATCACAATAAGCACTTAGCTTTAGCGTAACACTAAATAAAATTTTAATTTGAATAAGTTACAAAACAAAAGGATATTTTTACAAGCTTTTATTTAAAATATACCTAATGTCAGGCGTATTTTATATGTAAAATTTTAGAAAAAATATAAAAAAATGTGCATGTTCAGAGTTTTTTTCGGTATCGTAAGCCAATCTATAAAACAACAAATAAAACAATGAAAATATCTAGTAATGACAGTCACGTATTTATTGTACGCACTTGCAAATAACGATGGGAAATTGGTATGTCAAGGATTGTAGAAACGCAAGTAGAGGCTGGATGTGTTTGAATAATTCGCCGTGTTGGCCGGCGCCGGTGTTAGCAATTGTCGCGCGGACACTCTTGAGATAGCATCGTGCCGCCGGGCTCCGGCGCCGCTCATCTAGATCGCGGGACTGCAAAGACATGCCCTCTGCGGATAAAGTCTTCAACGTGCCGACGCAAGCACCCGCACAATCCCTTTGAACGAATCTCACCACCGCCGATCGTGTTGGCATCCTAGAACCAATGAGAACCATCGCGTTAACTTTTTTTCATACCGCGAATTGCATTGCTATTCAAACCTCATTCGATCTTTTTACGCGATTGATTTATTCCATCTCCTCGCCAAGTGACTTACATTACTTATATTTTCTCATTGACATTCTCGAACTCAATCGCCCATAAAAAAGGCCTCCTTCAGTGAACGGATGTTCGACGTGCTGTCAAAAATCTACAACAAAGGGCAGGACAAGAAAATAAATAAACACAATTTGTTTTATTGGAATGCTATTAAGATTTTTTTAGCGTAAGTTTTGGCACCGTCGGCGTCAAGTTCGCCACTCCTGCGTTCGCTGGTAATGAGTACTAACAACCGCTATAAGAATTCTTAACTTTTTAACACTCACAATAATAATAAATATGAAATTATCTTGCCAGGGATATTTCAGGTGACACCTTCCATTATAATTAGTGAGTGATGATTTATGTAGTTGGTTAATTTCAATCAATGGACAATACGCTTTAATAAAAACTTTACAGCTGTGTGGTAATTTAAAAAAAAACACGAGGTTTCCCTTTAAACAAACATAATAATTATTAACAAAGATGATTATTTTTACGTGAAATATTTTCTTGTTAACAACATTTTGCAATCAATAGTAGTAATTGAGGCACATTCAATATTTATCGTCTGTTTTTTTTTGGACAAGCAGTAGCGATAAATTGAAGCAGATATTACGTTGGTATGAAGGTTTTAAATTTTTTCATTATCAATAGGTCTTTCATGCAATATTATCATAAGGAATCGAGCATGTATGGGCGTCTTTACCATGACATTCAGATTTACTCTAAAACAAAGTCGACGACCAGAGCCTCCAAATTATAGTGTTTAAAACTTTTAATATTACGCTAAAAATGTACGTAAAAATTATAAAATCGATGGAGCTCGTAATATATGTAACACTGCCTTCTGGCAGCCATTACTTAGGCGCGGGCTTGTTATTAAATTCGGCCTTATTTATTTATTTATGAGCGATACCAACGTCGTAAACGTTTATTCATATAGAGAACTGCCGAACATGAAGATCCAATATTGTTTTCACAGTTACTACATTGTATTTAGTTACTTAGCTTGTATGGGTAGTTTATTTATGTAGGTAATTTATTGAAGATATATACTGGATAGAAATTTGTAATTTGAGTGTACTTTAGAAAAGTCAACGAGATAATATTTTTTCTTTACAAATAATTAATTTAAAAAATTAATATTTTTAATAACCGTTACAAAAGGTAGTGCTACCGTTTATATTTTTAGAGTAATTCAAGAAATCGGAAAACGAACCTTTTCATAGCTACCTTTAATTGTAACTCAAATATTTTCATTATAAAGCAATTAAAATTAGAAACAGTTACAATATTATCATTAAACAAAAAGGATAAAAATGTTAATAAAATAAAAGTCACGCAGTGTCGATAGTAACGCCTAGGCGTGAACATTCGATCCTAAAGAATCGATGATTAATTCTGGCTTAATTACAGAGGTGATCACATAAAATATCGATTTGGAATATTCAAATCGTACAGGTGGCTGGACCCGCCCCGGCCCCGGGCCCCGACACTTAGTACGTGGTAGATACGCAACATTTAAATCTTATAAATTTATGGACAATCAAATTATTTGGTTTGGTGTTCAGGTTGATGAACTCTGTTGGATTTCCGTTGAAAATTTTATTGGACTCTAAGATATCAGGCTTCACAAATAGTAGCACATTTTCAAAATACTTTTTATTTCGTCTAAATATTTATAAGAATTACTAGCGAAAATTACTGGCAACTTGAAAGATTACAATTTTAAAGTCGAGTATTTTAGATAAATACCTGTTAAATATTTAAAGACCTCTTGAGTCCCGTTAGACTTAGACTAGAAGAAATTTAGATTACATACCTTGATTATAATATGATGATTATGCACGGCTCACTTTATTACGACAGTAAAGTCAGAGATGCTACATGGTACTCTTAGTCTTTTATTATATTTTTGCAAAATATGTAGATTCTTAAATTATTTATATGTAGATTCTAGCAACTCACCCTCGTTTTGCTCCAGTTTATCCCTATGTACTTTTTAACAGTTAGTATGGAATAGATATTATACATAGGTATAGAAAAGTACGTAAGCACTTTAAAAAATAAAATTATATCCTTAACTTGAGAAATGATTGATTCCTCATACAAACTTTATCACCCCCTTTTCACCTCCTCAAGGGTTGATTTGTGAGTTAAAAACTGTCCTATTTCCTTCCCAGGGTCTCAAACTAGCTTTCTACCAAATTTCATGTAAATCGATTCAGCGGATTAAGCGTTAAAAGGTAACAGATAGACAGAGTTAGTATTTATATTTTTTATGATTCTATGATATATGAAAAAAATTTTTTTTGTCATTTCAGTACAATTTTTAGTTATTCAATAAAAATGTCTATTCTTCAAATATAGTAGAATGACATCTTGCCTAAGCCCACAAAAATCGGAAAAAAATATTACGTATCTCTGGTGTATGATATGTCAATGCAAAAATCAGAGAGGTAAAAGAAGAATAAAATAATAAATGTTACATATGAGCACATACGAGTTCCGCTACTAGTACCAGTTAGAGTGTATTCGTCATAAAATAAAATTTAGTTTATTTTGTTTATCTTCATATTTCAGTTACTTATGGTTACTTATGAATAGTTAATACTTAAGAATGGAAATGTTTTTTCTTGCTATAATTCTGAATATTGTCTGATATAGGTAGCTCGTTGAAAACTATACGAGAGTATTTAATTTAAGAATTTAAATGCGAACTATTCGAGATGGCAAAAGTTTCTAGCGCATCGTTATATGCGTCGCTCGGTAACTTGCTATCTTAAGATTAATCTTAAACTTACCGTTTGCTCTATCCTTGCAACCAACATTAGCAACTGCATATACGAAAGATTTAGCAATTATTATAAAGAATTAAAAAAATATTATTATTTGTATGAAACGAACAGCAAGAAGATATCTATAAGGCTTATAAATAGCAAGTACATACATATATGGGAATGCTAAAGTGCTTCGCAAATTGTAATATGCATCGAGCTCACTAAGCAACTATCTTGAGATTAATCTTCAACCTACCTCTTTCTCGAATCGTTTGCGAGCAATATTAGCAGATGCATCGTGCACGAAGGGTTTCCCAATAATTTCATACTCAACGAGTCCCGATCGAAAAGTACCATCTCGCCGACGGCTATGTAGACCTTATTAATGCGAAATATTGTTACTTTACATAGTCTTGTTAACGTTATATCTACTAATAATTTTTTATCGATTTGTTATTTCATATTTGTATAATACACATTCTAAATCATATATATTGCTATAATCCCTCCACGCCCGCGGACACGCCGGCGCGGCGTGTCAGTTAACAATAGATTTCTTAGAATTTTAATTAATTTCTTAGAAATTTACCTGGAGGTGTTATTTGCGTAACTATCACTATTTTCTCTTGATGGTGGGTCCTTCCAATTGGAACAACACAATTTAGCTCGCACACATCGAGTATAATCTCTAATGTGTTTAAGGAGAGATAAGCTTAGGTAAGATAATGTTAAGCTATCTTTTGCACCCAAACAGACTGACAAATGGACAAAAAATTAGAATTAACTATTATTTCAGTTTATTTTTCCACCGTAAATACCCCTTAAACATAACACGTTTTTATTACCTTCCCTTATAACTTAATTAGCTAGCTTATTACAAACTTTCAAAGTTTCAAATCTATACCTAAGTAGGTACTAGTTTTAATTGTGGTCTCGATTTAAAAATGTCTAATAATTTCGATAAAAATACAATAATATGATAACATTGAGCTGTTCTGATGTGGAGGTGAATAGTAAATTTTTCAAGAACCAATAGTAACATCTTCGAGTTTAGGCTTCTTTGACTTGTTTTGACAAGTGTACAGTAACAAGTGTTAAGTGTATAGTTAACTCTTTTAAATTTGAGATTTTATTATTCACTAAATATTTTTTAATAAACTCGGATACACAAGATACAATAAATTAAATTTACTTTTTTTGCTTAATTTTCTTTTATATTTAAAATTTCTTTTACAATATTAATTCACTATTATTATTATTTTTTTAAATAGGTACTTTAATACCCTCCAATGTTTTTTTATTAATTTTATTATATATTAAAGATATTAAAGACAAAAGCCTGTTTTTTTTATTTTTTTATTATAATTATTTCAAGAAATAAGTATTATTTAAATAAAAGTCATCACTCGAAATTTTAGTCAATCTGCTATTATAAAAGCGAATTTTTGTATTTGTTTGTTACTTCTTTACGCGGAAATGGCTGAACGCTTACTACTCAGTTTGGATGTTTGTTTTTTGGGTAAGTACATTACGCGATATTTTCTCAAATTTTGAATCGATTATCATATTTATTAAACATAGGTTACACGTTTGATAAAAGTTGAAAAACCACGAGTTCCTACTCAGGGTGTAAATAATTATTTTTATTGATTTTGGTGTCAGTATATTTCTTTGACGAGATTTAAAAAAAAGCGGTTTCACATAAATTATCGGTAAAGAAATAACTCCAAAACACCATATATTTTGTAGTAAATAAGCTCAGGACATAATTCACATCTCAAGTTCATGTATTCGCAAACACAGTATAATGTTCCCACTTCATAATTCAAAGTGCAATACGATCATACAAAAAGTCCGCGCCGCCCTTGCTTGCCACGGCGCGGTGGGCGGAGTCGATAATGCCCGAGATTTCCTCGGATAGTGCCTATGATAAATCATACGATATTTCAAGACATCTATTTGTCTTAAGGTGGAAATCGATTACAAACCGACAGCTAATTCGCTTTCTCCGTTTCGATAAGTTTTCATAATATAAGTATGAGGTGACAATTAGAATAAGAATCGATTTTTATGATGTACATTATTATAATCAAGTGTTAGTGATACCTATGAATTGCTTATAATTTATATATTTGCTATTTATTCGAACGCTGTAGCTTCGAAAGGATTTTCTACTTAGTAAAAACTAACGACTCACCCTCGCTCAGCTCGGGTTCGTCTCTACTTACGTTTTAACGTTTAGTATAGATTTCTCATGAGATATTTTCCCCCAGTAAAAAGTATCCTATATGTTGACCCGGATTACCAGCTATCATCATATCAAATTTCATCAAAATCCCTCCAGTGGATTATCTGTGATGCGGTCACAGACAGACAAAAATTCTAAAAACTATAGATTCTTTCCGGCTTCTGTATCGATTACCATGTCTATTTCAATTAGATTTTCCAAAAAATATTTAATTAACAGATTCGGCTTAGTTAGAATTTTATTATACTTAGGTATAGATAAAGGTACTTTTCTACCTAACTACATTATTTTTCTATTTCGTTATGTAAACAGGGTTAACTTTAATCAGCTTGTTCATTTATATCATTAGCTGAGTTGAGCTTATTATCATAGTAAACGTGTGTACAAAAACTATTTAATGTTTCTTATAATACAGCGGCCAAATCGAACGAATCTATAGTTTTTAGAATTTTTGTCTATCTGTATGTTACCGTATCACAGAAAACCCACTGGAGAGATTTTGATGCAATATGGTATGGTAATAGCTGGTTATCCGTGTCAACATATAGGATACTTTTTACCGCGGGAAAATGTCTAATTTCTGAGAAAAAATACAAAAATGCAATGTAAGAGTATACTAATATATAAAACCTAAGAATATGGTTTTTGGTCATCTGAACGCGGGCGGAGCCCGTGTAGGTGCTAGTGTAAAATATATCTAACCTAATTAGAGGACAGATTCAAATTTGGTGAATATTTATTTATACTAAATGGAAATAAAAAATTAGTACTGATTGATATATTCTCGATATAAAGATTTAATTGAATATTGAAAGCTCTGATTCGTGGAACACAGATAAAAAAGTTGCTTTACCTTACCGGGACTTGAGCAAGACCGTTTTAAATGTCACAACTTAATTAACAAACAGTACTTCACGGTTATTTACTATGCTGCTAGATACGATTTACATCTGTCACAGTGATTATAATACACCTGCACTGGCCTGCATTTACATAAAACCAAATTGCCCCGGACGATACGCCACGGAATTCCGAATATCCATAAACGTAGCTGCCAGCATACCGAGGGCCATACTTAAAAACAAAATTAAAGGGGATAGCCGTACGATAATATGAATTAAAAATAATAAAACAAAAAAATAGGAGTCACGGATCGCCTCGAGAGTTTTTTTAAGTTTTTTTCGAACGAAGCCCGCGAACAGACTCGCCGTATCTCCTGACAATATCTTTGACGAGTTTTTTATACGGCATTATTTTTAAACGCACAGATTATAAATGGTTGTTTGGCGATTTAACGCCCAATCTAATTAGGCAAATGATATGTGTTTTTGGACAAACAACGATTTATGATAGACTCATTTTTTTCTGATTGATTTCTAATTAACTGGTGTGATGTACGATCAGACTAATCTTTAGATTTTTAGTTGGATTTTATCTTAGAATATAATAAAGATAAGGCGTAAGGTAAATTGGATGAAATTTTAATAAGTTTTATCATAAAAATTATAATAACAAGTTTAGATTCATCGTATGGTTGAATGGAGTTACCTACTTTGAAGAGATTTTGGTGATTGTTTTTACTAAGTAATTTAAGGCAGTAATTCTCATAGATACCTACATATTTTTGTCCACGTCACTTTCTGTAAGTATATATTAATTTATTTACTGTTTGTGCACTAAAGAATACCTATATACCTACCTATAAGAAGTATACAATATATATATATATATATATATATATATATATATATATATATATGTATAATACATTTATTATACTTACTTCTTTGGTAGCTTACAAATTACAATATGTATTTATTTCAAATTTCTTTTAATCTTGGTTTTTTTATTACAAATATACTTATTTTTCAACTTAAGCTACCTATTTGAATAGTCAAATAGGTACGTTTTTTAAAAACAAACTTAATTTTAGATATTAGATTTAAGCGAATATTTGATATTTTAAGACATTTTAGAGACTGTCTCTCCCGTGACCATGATTGCTGAAAGCATTCGAAACATCGGGAACCAAAAATCCAAATAAATCCGCGAAAAAATCTGAAAAGATAGTTTTATTTAAAACATAATTTGATTTGATAAAAACAAATTTAAGGGTTTCTACAGACCTAGTAACTATAGAAGTACTCCTAGATACTATCGAAGCTGACGACGCAAATATTTCCTTCAGCAAACCATCCATTTATCAAGAAGTGTTTTTTATGTAGGTATACCTAATACATAACACAAATTATTTTAAATAAAAAAATCTTCTTCCCATCTAACTATTAAACTATATAAGATATATTCTTCGGTATCCTGAGGAGAATGGGCAATGCTTGTAGTTTTTACTATAATACTTAGCTTTCTTAGTAAAGAAAATGAACTTTTAAATGAAATACATAGTACCTATTAAGCAAGAGAGTATTAGGTATAGGTGAATGGTTATAGAAAAAAAATCTAGATCTAGGAAGCTATTTGGCCTGACCTGTATCGAAGACGATATGGATGGGAGAAGTATGTATGCTGTTATTGAAAAGATGGCGTAGACGTTAAAAGAAAGAAGTAAAATAAAGAAACAGGTTATATTAAACCACATCCAGCCTGGTGACAGGAAGAAGTAAAAGTGTGTAGTCTATGTAAATTTCTTCTTTATTTAACTGAAAGCCAAAATGTCCAGAAGACCACTTGAATTGAATTTTGTGAAACACTGGCGGAAAAAACTCAGCAGGACTAAAAAACATTATTAATTTTTTCATATGAAACAACATACTTTACAAAAAACTTTAATTATCAAAATTGAAATAGCCTGGAGGCGATCGCATTTCTCCCATGGATGTGCTGCTCTTTCCCATGGATCTTCGATAAATTCTATATTTTTTATTTCAATAAATTTAACATAACTATTGGTTATAGGTACAGTGGTGTGCTTCAATCTGGATGAAAAACTTATAAAGGTATATAAGTACTTATCTTTGCAAAACCAAAGATATGTACTTATGTACCTACTGCAGCTCTATACCAGTATTCTCGACATCAGCAATGCACAGGGAAATGGGTGTATGCTGCTAGTATTTTCAGCTATTCAAATATTTTCTACAACTTTTTGGCCTCATATATCTCATATCATCGCTACCACTAGTGAAAAGAGCGACGTTTCGTTTTCACCCAAAGACTCTGCATTACGTGGACATAACTTGTACAGTAATTAAAATTAATTTAGAATATTTATAGTTTCATTATAGTACTCTCTTGTTCTACTATTGACACGTTCTAGTGACTTCTTTATGGTATTATAATATTCCAATGGAAATAAACACTAAAATGTGTGTGCTTACATGAAAACAACTTTAGTTCCATATAAGGATACGGTTTATGTATGTATTTACTAGGGAACAACACATCCAAATGTCATTCATTGTCGTGTCAATTAGGCATTAAACTTGCGTGAATTTACAATTTTAAAATGTAAAAGCTGGTTTGAATAAGCATATTATGTAACTACTAAATTGGAGTTGGTCGGGCTAAAAGCTTTTTAAATTTAGTAGGTAGGTACCTATATGTACATAGGATAAAAAAAAGTTTTTAGCCTTTTTCAAATAAATCTAATTTATAATAGGTAGTATTTGGTTACGATTAACTCTTACAAGATAGTAGGTTTCTCGTAAGATAATATTCAATATGATAATATCAGTGTTTTGAATAAACTGAACTAAATTTCTATTTGTTTTGTAAGTAACAAAAATTACTTCTCAGTTTTCTAAAATAGTGCATTTATTACTTGACGTTTTTATGAAAATAATAGTTTATACGAAAATATTTAGATATTATTCAATCCAGTTCATTTGAGAACTAATAAGAATAAGATATATAATTATTCCCGTGTCTGCTCTTAAATGTGTTGATTGTATTCAAAGTGTTGAAGGCCTCAAGTCGTTGGCTGGCACTTGGCAGTCGGTGGCAGGCGAGCCACGGCGTGTGCGCCGACTGCCGATGAATCCTCGTCAACGTGGGAACGTGCCGAAGAAAGTGGCAAATTGCTTAGATATATCTGACATACGCACAGTGCGTTCACACTTCGCACATCGCTTACACATTGCGAGCACGTTTCATTAAAAATTCGATTGAAATTATTATAATAAGATACCCTATATTCTTCTTTCGGGCAGTCGTCGCGTCGGGTCCCGTAAAAACTGCAAGTACATTACTGCTTCAGCCGACATCATAATTTAAACGTTGTAAAAACTGGTGTCTTAATAAATAAATCAATGAATTTTTTCATCGTCCATAACTTAAGTTGAGGCGGGAAATCGGATGGAAGTCGAGGGCGAAACTTTTAAAAAAGGAAACTGCTCTTGCGACTGTGCGAAGCGGCCATTGGCCGGCGTGCCGGGGGCGGGCAGCGAGTGGCGCGCCATTGGTCCGACGCAGACGCAACATAGGCGCGCTCATCTCGAGAAACGAACAAATAGATTTTTTTTAAACAAAAGCAATTTTCCTATTATTCTTGTTGGGCGACGCTTCTATAGTTTGTTTTTGCTCGGCCACGTTTTGTATTGTTTATTGTGCCGGAGTACGACAATCCACTCCCGGTTAATTCCCAGTGATATTAACAACTCCGTTCATTGTTCCGCAGGTCGCATGTAAATTGTAAATTCACTAAAAACTAACGATTGTTGTGCAAAGGAGCACGCAGCGCGTGTCGCAACTCGCCGCGCAGGAAGCCGCCTCGCTGAAATTATCTATTGTTAATTAACATTATAATATATTTAACACGGTGTTGCTTACAGCATTCATATTTTATTCTTAACAATAAGCAATTCAAACGTTTCTTTTAATTTATTATTAAAGTTCTTGACTTAATACTTTTATAACGATCACCTAACTCCATTGTATTTAAATGCGATTACATTTTAATAGACACTTTATTATTAACACCTAGAACCTCTAAGAAAAAAAGATGACACTTTTTTGCTGTTACGTAATATTCTAGTTCATACTTTAAATACTGTTTTAATTTTAAAAAATACATTGTCTATTCAATTTAATGTTATTATTACCTAACATAAAATAACCTTCAGTGCAATCAAATTTAAATCAGAATGAGTTATAAATAGCCTCTGAAAACTTAATTAAAACTAGCACAAAACAAGTCCAATGAGTCACTCCACACTATTTTGTTCTGGGGGTTTCATTAAATTCAAGTCTGACATTTAATGTTTCGACATTCATCTTTTAAAATATTCATTAGGTGAAATGCGAGTCGTGCGGCCGCGGCCGGCACAAATAGCTAGATCTCTATCCGCCTATCTGTAGCGCAGACATAATATTTGACATTAAGAAAATATTAAATATTATTAAGAAAACTAAGAAATATGTTAATTTTAAAGGTTCTTAATGAAAACATACTTAAATTTTTGCTATCGTAAATCTTTAAAACTACAAAAAAACTGATAAAATGGATGAGAATTGAGATCACAAGCGTACCTTATTCTTGTATCTACATAACAAATGTTATGTAAATTCTAATATCTTTTGTACCAACATATGTATGTAACGAAGTCTCACTACCTTGTACTGTTTACGTAATTATTTAAATAGTATAGGAATTCCATCAGTAGCACTCTCTGCACACGCCCTCAGAACTATTTAACAAACATTAGTTAGCATTCACATACATATCATTTTACAGTAAAAGCATGACAAGAGGTAGCTGATTAGTACGCGCGAGCGCATCCGATAACAGCCGAGCGCGGCCGAGCGCCGAGATGATTCAAGATTGCGCCCATTTTTCCTCCAAATTGCGCCCTTTTGTTATGCAAAGCGCGCGAGCGCCGTGTGCGGGCCACAATCGCTCGTTTATACCCCGTCTGTGACACACCTTATCACACCATCGCCTTACAATGCCAGTGACCGATTAGAATACGTCACTAGCCTACGATTTTAATTACTCCCGTCTATGTGTGGTCTCATTTCCTCTTAAACTCACTGCCTATACACTAGCTCTCGTCTATGAATAGCCGGACACTAATGAAATTACTAAGCATGCCAGGAAACGAGTTGTAACAGTGATGCAATAACTTGTTTCAAAATGTCTGACACTATTGGCAGACAAATATTTAAAATACATAATAGTAATAAAAAATACGTATCTAAAATGTTATTATAATATATTAAAATATCAAACATATTTATCAATTAAAATTTGTTAGAAGCTTATATCTTGGACATATCAAACACCTAATTGGCATATCTACTCGTAAATGTTTTATGTCTGATGTTAAAAATAGGTAACTATGAATACTACCTAATATAGACAATACAAAATCGATTTGCATATTAGCGGTAGTAGCAAGTAGTTAGAAGCCAATACAATGATTAAAGAGATAAAACAGCAATCTAACGAACACCCCATTTGCCGATTGATTTCAAACAATTCCGTATACAAAACCATTTCCATTATTTTAAGCAAAATATCCAACAGTATCTCAGTGAGAGAGACCTGATCATTCATTTCATGAGTAGGCAGGTAATCCACCAAATGAGGTCTCATTGATTCTCCTGCACTAATAATTGCGATAAACACGACCACGTTATATTGTACACTAGGTTTATACGAATTCCAAATGTTCACACTGTATTCCTATTTTCATAGAGCCTTTATTTCTTTGTTGGTAGAATATATTGAGGTATATGATTTACTTTTCCTATACAGCCCGAGTATCGGGCATCGTCCCAATGCATCATATTCGTCGTATGTTTCGTCATCAGAGCACAGAGATCGTGATCTCGCCGATAATGAATGGTATGCATTAAAAGCACTACTGGTTCACCTGTCCCCAACAGTAGGAGCTGAATTTTTAATGAGAATATTAAGCTCGAAATACCAGCAATAAATCATAATTTTGTAACTGATAATCGATAGTAGGTATATGAGTATTTATTGCATATAGAAATATTTTTTTCTTATATATTTATAGTTTTTACTAGCACATAGATTTATACAGTTAAATATTGTAAAGTCTTATCCTATAGAGAAGTAATAACTTTTTTATAGAAGCAGTACAATCCATACTAATATTATAAATGTGAAAGTGTGTTTGTTTGTTTGTCTTTCTTTCACGTCGAAACGGAGTGACGGATTGACGTGATTTTTTGTGTGGAGATAGTTGGAGGGCTGGAGAGTGACATAGGCTACTTTTTACCGCGGAAGATAATCTCATTCCCACGAGAGAAAACGATATAATACAACCCAAAAATTATTTATGATTAGAATTACTTAAACTTGGTATTAATGCTCTTCACTACAATTAAATAAATACGTGTTTTAGCATTTGTCGAAATTCATATCATAAGGAGGTAAAATAGGGGGTGAAAGTTTGTATGAAACCTATTTTTTAGAGTTTTTCTGTAATTTAAGGGCAAGCGAAGCCGCGGGTTCTGCTAGTATCAAGATACGATACTAACATATTACGTACATTTATTTTAAACCCTTGTGTACAATTTCTAACAGAATTGAACATAAAAATGCAACACGTCACCAGATGTTTGAGAAACAAGGAACCAAGATCACGTGAGATACGCGTCTACGCTTTTTGTTCCAAGCTTTTACACGTTTTAAAAGCATTCCATGGGCATAAATTTAAATTTGCCCGTTATCAAAATAGTTACTCTTGCAGAATTTTATTTATGAACCTTAAGAAATGTTAACGAATGACTTATGTGAGTATTTAACTTACATTTACATATAAGAAGTATTTAATTTAGAAACAATTGATTCATACGATGATAGGGCGGAATAGAAAGATTGAAGGATCATTAATTCTGGTAAATGTTTTTATTATAACTAGCAGAACCCGCGGCTTCGCTCGCGCTAAAACTACAAAAAACCTCTAAAAAGATCGTTTCATACAAACTTTCATCCCCTATTTTACCTCCTTATAGGATGAATAAAGCCCAAAAAATTTAACATTTCAATGAACTATGTGTACCTAGATGATAAAATGTTTTGCGAATTAACGATTTTTAAATAACAATTAAATTATAATATTACAAACTGATAAATATAATACATGTAGGTCCAGTTATAACATGTTCCATTGCATACCAAGTTATAACTTATATTGCAACATCTTCTGACGGCTTATGATTTATTGTTTGCTAACTTGTCCGGTAACTTCAACTAAACTATAGCTATCAACTTTGTAACAATCTCTACTACGCTTTGAATTATAGAATAGTAGAAGGTAGAGTAAGTCTGTATCGGTTTTAAATGCAATATTATTAAACTAGCGACTTGCCTTGCGACTGCCTTGTTATATATATATATATATATATATATATATATATATATATATATATATATATATATATAGAGTTTTCTGAGGGTAGGAGTGAAACGCAACACACGTCAATTCGCAATCAGCTGATTTATTTAAATTTTAAATTGAGAACTAAGTTATATATTTACACTATTTTAACATAATATGTGCATGTGAGTACTTATTTACCCACCAGCAAGAATACTCCTCGTACTTATTCACTTAAATCAACATTTAATACATCCATAACTATGGAATCCATCAAGGAGTCTTTGTCTACACTGACTGATATGTTTAATGCCCGGATGAATGAATTTCAGCAAGACTTGCATAAAACTTCGTCACCTGTTTCATCTAGCGCCCTGCCAACTGAATTTAATAACTTCAGGACCTTCATTGTTTCCGTGCTAAACACTTTGCAACGTCAAGTTGAATATCTTGCTTTAGAGGTTGACCGGCATGAAATGAGAAGAAGGCGTAAGATGATTCTTTTCCACGGTGTCCCAGAGATTAAAAATGAAGATAGTGCAGCCAGAATCACAAGTTTGATCGCTGACCATCTCGATCTGCAGAACTTTTCTACCGAAAGCATTAAAGACTCTTATCGCTTAGGCCGCCCCGCCGTCAAGCCTAGGCCTATCGTAGTGAAATTTAGCGATGTTAATGTGCGTAATAAAGTGTGGTTCGCCAAAACCAAACTCAAAGGCACTGGTTTCACCCAGTCGGAGTTCCTCACGAAGAGTAGGCACGAAGCGTTTTTGGTGGCAAGGCAGCGTTTTGGTGTCACCAAGTGCTGGACTCGGGATGGGTGCATCCACATTATAGCCCCGGATGGGTCTCGGCATCGTGTGGAGTGTAAACTGGATTTAAGTGTAATTCCGAGCAATCCAGTTAAATCGCCGCAGAACGTATCAGTTCCCAAAACAACAGACAAAGTGGTGGCTTCTCGCGTTAAACGAATAGTAAAAAAATAGTTAAAATTATTTTATTTTCCTTTTGTTTCATACGTTTAACTTTTATGTTTTAGGTATTAGGCCATATTAAATATTTAATATTGTTTACGCACTACGATTATTTTATGATATAGACAATAGTGTGACAGATTATATGAACAAAGTGTAACGTAGATAATATTTTATTGCTTATGAAATTTTAAGTTCTGTACACACGATACAAATCTGTCAAATATCAACTTTTTTTTTTGTCATTGTTTATCAAAAAAATTTTTTTTTGGGTTTTGTTTAGTTTTATTGTTTGAGTTTATTTGTTTCTTTTAGTAATTTAGTTTATATATTCATCTATTACCTAATTTATTTAATTTATTTTGTTTTTCTTCTGTATTTCATGTTTGTTTTTTTTTTACGTTGTGAAATTTTTCTTCTTTCTTGCAACTGGCGGGTGAGTAGTATTTACTTGTTACTTATATTATTTTTATTTTATTATTATCTTTACATAAGAAGTTATTGAATTATTATAATATTTTATTTTGTTTATTTATCTAGTTTTAAAACTATAGGGGAGAGCGGGGTTGGAAGTTCCGATTTTTAAATAACATGAAATTTTATAATAAAAATGAAGGGTTTCATTTTTAACATGTGCAAATATTGAATGGATGTTTATTGGTTTTTGTAATATTATAGTCATTTATACTAGTATCTCAATCGTTTTTTTTACAGAAGCAATTTTTTGTCAAATTTCGGAGCGGAACATTCAGCCCCGCTTTGGGGCGAGTTGTTCCATCGTTGGGGCAAATTGTTCCACTTAGATTATAACAATAATCTATCCGAATAACATAGGTTTTATAAAATAAAACAACCATTTCTATATATTTATGATGTAATGTTTAAGTTAAGCAAAAATAAACTTAAAAAAACAACAAACTATTACTGGTACAAAATATTACTGGTCCAGATAAACTTTTTGTAACTTTAAAAAACAACAAATCCTAAATGGTGAGCTCCAGATAAACGTTTCTTTACTTAGTTAACATATAATGGAGATCTATCAACTTATAAATCTTATCAGATGCATAACTTGACTTCAAGAAACAACAAAACATAATCTCCAAATTGACTTATTTTTATTTGTTTAAATTATTCATTATATCAGTCTTACGTTAATCAGGTGTAATTAAATATGGCAATCTCCATTCTCATTCATCAGGAATCTTATTCGACACTCATTTCTTTATCTGACTCACAGTTGGGACACACATAAGTACGCCTCTAAACATTTGATACGAGCCCAATTTTTACACATGATACATTCTATCCATTGTTCTCTTGGACGAAAATTTGAATATATGCATCACAACAAATTATACCGTACCATTCTAGATCGTGCTAACATGTCAGTCTCGTTTTCTTGTAACACTCTTCGTTTAGCTTTTCCTTGAGATTTTCCCATCCCTTTCCCGTTGGTTTTATCTTTTCCTTTACTATTTTGTTTGTTTTTTTTTCTTATCCTTTCTTTGCAATGTCTTCATTCTTTTTTGTCTTCTTCTTTTTCTATTCTTCGACTAACGCATTTTGTCTGGCATGTCAGTTAAAATAGATTTTTTTCTTATATCCAGTGAAACAGTCAGCTCCAGCAAATTTCCGGTTCTCTTGCCACAGTTTAAAAGAATCTCGGAGGAGTCTTGGAGGGTTTACCTTCCTCTGTCTTATGATTGTAATTTCGCATCCTTAAAATGAAAAAAAAGGTCTAAAGTATTTTAGGTATACGACGAAGGTAAATTGGGGTAAGTTGTTCCGGGGAACAACCAGCCCCGTCAGGAAGGAACTTCTTACCCCAAATTACGTCTATATACGAAGACTGACATACTGGCAAACTAATATAATAAATTATAAAAATACTTATGCGTTAATATACCTTACCAATATCACTACAATTTTGGAAAGTTACATATGAATCGGACCATAATAAACATAGATAGACCAAATAGTTTAAGCTCGAAAAAATTTACTTACGTGACGTTTTGACAGCTACGTGCACACAACCACTCAACCTTCATCGCTGGAGTAACTAAAATGGCTGACGGCGCTGCGCGTTGCCTGATGCTTTAACGGCGTACTTCACATCTATTGCTATGTCTTTCCCTTACAAAGTTATTACCGTCGGAACGACTTACCCCGGTAACTTCCAGCCCCGCTCTCCCCTACATATATATTTTATTTATTTTATATTAATTTTATATTATCATAACATACATATATTATGAGTTCGAATGATATTAGCCTAAATAATTCCTTCTTATCCTGCACTACATCTGAAGGCGATAGCAGCAACGATAGTTTTCACAGTATCCTTTCACTTGGCGAGACTCTCGATTTACATTTCTCAGATGTTCTGAAAAATTTTAATCTGGTTCACATAAATGCTCAGAGTATTCCAGCGCACTATCCTGATATGTTGTCATCTTTTACAAGTAAAAACATTCACGCTATATTAGTGTCAGAGTCATGGCTTAAACCATGTCTTCCTTCAACATCTTACTCTCTCCCAGGGTTTCATTTAATTAGAAATGATCGCACAGGACGTACAGGAGGTGGAGTAGCCATTTATCTACGTTCTCATATTCCTTTTTCAATTGTTAGCATGTCTCAACATCAGGGGAACGTAGATACCGAACATCTTTTTATTGAGATCGCATTATCTCACTCTAAAATACTCCTGGGCGTTTATTACAATCCGAGTCATACGATCGATTATTTTTCATCATTTGAAACCCTGTTAGAGCAATTTAAACCTTTGTATGATCACACTTTGTTGATGGGTGATTTCAACACGTGTCTTCAAAAAAATGATCATAGAGCTAATCGACTTTGTTCTCTTATAAATGCAGCCGATTTAAATATTCTCCCACTAAATCCCACTCATAGATTTCCAAATTGCGTACCTTCTCTTCTTGACCTAATCTTTGTATCTTCCACTGACCTTGTTGCAAAACATGGCCAGTGCTCTGCCCCATTTTCTTACCATGATCTTATATATTTATCTTATAAATTAAAACCGCCAAAAGCAAAATCAAGAATCCTTCTGCAGCGCAATTTTAGTGGTATCAATTTAGATAGATTACATGCAGATGCTGAAAATATCGACTGGTCGGCTGTTTTTAATGCAAGCACAGTTGATGAGCAAGTATCAATATTTAATTCGCTGTTAACCCAACTGTATGACATCCATGCTCCGGTTCGCCCTGTTCGTATGAAGCATCTTCCGGCTCCGTGGCTTACTCCTGAAATTAAAAAACTCCAAGGAAAAAAATTTGTAGCGAAGTCAAAGTACGTATCTAATCCTAATGATGACAATAAGGCCAAATATATTAAGGCTCGCAATCGTTGCAATATAGTGTGTAGGGATAGTCAACGATGCCATATCTATAAATCTATCATCGAAGAGGATGATCTAAATAAAATGTGGAAGTTTCTCAAATCCCTTGGAGTAGGTAAATCTAAGCAAAATATAAATCCGCACAATATAAATTTAAATCTGATAAATCAGCATTTCTCTTCTTCTACTACTGTTAATAGTACAAATAAATTAAACACACTCAACTATCTTTCAACTTTACCTACTCCTGATTTTCCCTGTTTTTCTTTTAGTCAATTTTCCGAAAGTGATGTTAAGAGAAATATTATGGCAATAAAATCTAATGCGGTTGGGGCAGACTGTATAAGGCGTAAAATGATTCTTCCCGTTCTTGACTATATCGTTCCTATTATTACTACCATTTTAAATTCTTCAATTAATTTCAATCAATTTCCTTCTTCCTGGAAAGATGGGCAAATCTTTCCTCTTCCTAAAATATCTAGTCCATCTTCTTTTTCTGATTATCGTCCTATTTCTATTCTTCCTTTTCTGTCAAAAGTACTCGAACGATTGGTTCACCAGCAATTGAGTGCTTTCCTCTACAAACATAATCTTTTAAATTCCTTTCAATCTGGTTTCCGTCCTAATCATAGTACGACTACGGCTTTAGTCAAAATAACAGATGATATCAGGAAAGGTATGGACCATCAAAGACTTACTGTGATGGTTCTACTAGATTTTAGTAATGCTTTTAATACGGTGGACTTTGACATCTTGCTCGCCATTATATCTTCTCTAAACATATCTCCTGAGGTCGTTGACTGGTTTCGTTCTTACTTGTGCGATCGCCGGCAACGAGTTCGGATTGAAGATTCTTACTCCGATTGGTGCAAAGTTACTGCCGGTGTTCCACAAGGTGGCGTGTTGTCTCCTCTCTTATTTTCAGTTTTTATTAATACTATTTGTCTCCAAATTTCTTCTCACTACCACCTATATGCAGACGATTTGCAAATTTATGCCGTGACATCTGTGGCTGATTTACCACAAACAATAGAAAATATTAACAAAGACCTCTCCTCTATAGCTACATGGGGTAAATCGTACGGCCTTAACTTAAACGCAACGAAATCGCAGGCAATTATTATTGGCAGTCAAAGGATGTTGTCAAAAATTAAAACTATACAAATACCAGAAATATTGCTAGATGGTGTTCAGATTCCTTTTCAGGAAAAAGTTAAAAATCTGGGTTTACTTATTGATCAACACCTGTCATGGGATCCGCAAGTGAGTGAACTGAGCCGGAAGATGTTTGGAGCGATTGCTTCTCTTCGCAGATTGCGAAATTTCCTTCCGATTCCTACCAAAATTGCGCTAGCAAATTCACTCCTACTACCGATTCTTGATTATGCTGACATTTGTTATCTCGACATCAAAGAGGAGCACTTGAATAAACTTGAGCGACTCCAAAATCTTTGTATACGGTTTATTTTCGGCCTTAGAAAATATGACCATGTTTCTCAATTTCGTAAAAAGCTCAAGTGGCTCCCAATCCGATTCCGCAGGAATACTCATATTCTTCATCTTCTCTACTGCGTGCTGTTTAACCCTTCAACTCCTATTTATCTGAAAGAGCGTTTTGAGTTTCTGGATGATTCCCATG